GGCCAAGTGTAGATTTGAATCTACACATGTCAGACTCCAGATTCTATGGCTCATGCCTCCTAGAATAGAGCAGTGGGGGAAAAAGCTGTTTCTTTCTTCAGGAAATGAGTGTATTTCCTAAGAATGGAAGCTGATTATAGTAACCAATTTTCATAGGTAAGTAACAAGTGTAACAGGAGATACCGTATTAGTAAATATGTAATACACATATAAGTTGTTCCTCATCATTTAGATGCTGTTGGAGGGCTTTCTGGGAGAGAGACAAATGCTTTGAGAGATTTTTCTGAGTTATCTTCAAAGATGTCCCATCTCTCCATCCTGTGCTTCCCTAATCCATCTAGCCTCCCTTGGGAGTAAGTGAAGGGTTACATGAAGTCTCTTCCTTGGGCTAGTTGGTAAGAACCATGATGCCTCTCCTCTGTAATTAAGAGAAGAGCCAGAGGCTCCACAGAGAGGCAGATGCAAGCTGCTGTGAGGTAGGAAAGTAGGAGAGAGTTCTCTCCCTCTGGTTTCTCTAAACACATAGAGCCCAGTCTCAGATTTAGAACTTATTTGGAGTATATCTAAGAAACTTGAGGTGAAGTGGAAGACCAAAGGAAATACATCTATTCTTTGGGGCACAGAGGCCACCTGTCATTGTGTTGTCCTTACTTCTATTTCTTGAATAAGTTCTCTAAAACAAAGGAGTATCAAAAAAGGATGCTATAGATGGGAGTTGTTGGTTAGGGAGGGTTAGAGAATCCTTAAGTCTTCTGAAAAGAGGTACTTTCATTCTTGCTCCTAGGTAGCCCATGAGAATTCCAGGAGAGTAAATGTTGATTGATGTCTCAAAGTTCCCTTCTTAATTCTCTTTCACTGCTCCCTTTTCATTTTTTTACCCCCTTCATACTGAGAATAGAACTCAAGGCCTCAAGCATGCTAGGCAAGTATTCTTCCACTGAGCTATACCCCACTTAGTGGCACACCCAGAGAGGGAATGAAAAGCTCCCCAGACCATCACATCCGCCTTGCCCTATGCATCTCTTCATAGGCATCCTTTGTAGCAATTACTTTGCTATTCTCAGATCCATTAAAACTGTACTCTAGAGAGATCCTTCTTGAGAACACACACACACACACAGACACACACACACACACACACACACACACACACACCCACACCCACACCCACCCACCCCTACTGATTTATTGTAAAGGATGCTGCAAAGGATGCCTATGAAGAGATGCATAGGGCAAGGCGGGTGTGAAGTCTGGGGAATAAAGTCTAGGTTATGTTATTATCCACCTTTAACTGGGACATTTGTATGGATCAAGTCCACACTCCTTAGATGATCAGAGAGGACACTGCCCAAGTCTAGTACTTCATTTGGCCTGCTGTTCTTCCTAGTATTGGAGATTTGAGAGGTTGCAACTGATCCCTGTAGCTGCCTCATTCGTACCCATTTGTTCCAACAGGAAGGTGTTTTTCCCTCTCACCTTCCAGATACCACAAATGTAATTTCCTGTTTACTCATACACTCTCTCCACACTCTTTAGACTATTATTTCTGCCCAGGCAGAAATGCATTATTCTACTTTGCATGTCTAGCTTAGCATATAAAGAAGCATTTAAAAAAATGTTCTCTGGGGTTGGAGAGATGGCTCAGCAGTTAAGAACAATTGCTGTTCTTTCAGAGGATCCAGGCTTAATCGCAGCACCCACATGGTGGCTAACAACTGTCCATAACTCCAGTTCCATGGGATCCAACACTCTCTTCCTGGCCTCTGCAGGCATTGTACACACATGGCGTACTTACATCCATGCAGGCAACACACTCATACACAAAAATTAAAAATAATAATCTATTTAAAAAATGTTCTCTTTCTCTCTTTTCTTCCCTCCCTCCTTCCCCCTCCCTCCCCCTCTCCCCCCTCCTTTTCTTCCTTTTTTCCCTGCCTTCTTTCTATTTATAGACAGGGTCTCATCTAGCCTATGTTCTCTTCAAGCTTTTAGCCTAAAGCATGTAGCTGAGGATGACCTTAACCCAATCCTTCTGCTCTACATCCTGAGTACTGGAATTACAGGTGTGTGCTACCATGTCCGGTTTTATGCAGTGCTGAGGTTCGGACCTCTGCATGCCAGGCAAGCACTCTACAGATTGAACTACATCCCCAGCCCCATAGGAAGCTTCAATACATTTTTTTTTTCTTAATAGGACAGGGATGGCAACAAATGTCTTGTTTGAACCACCTTGAAAGCTAAATTATGTGTTTTCCTTGCACAGAATGCTGACCTCATCTAATGATGAAAAAAACTTTTCTTTTTTTGCCTAGGATGTTGAGAAATACAAGTTTTACAAATATTGATACAGGCTAGCTGCCCTTTATGTCTTCTAAGCTTCCAACGAGTTTCCTAATTGCTGAGGTCTAGATAGCCTACCAATAAATGTATGTACAGGGTTAGGGCAGAGGTTTCAAAGCAAATCGTAGATCATAAATTTTATTGACAATCAAGGTTTTCTCTGGAAAAGTTTAGGGGGAAAAGTGTTGTCTTTGAACATTCCTTCTTAATCTTCAGAACTTCTCATCTTTTTTTTTTTTTTTTTTTTTTCCATCTGCCTAGATACTAACAATTCTTAGGCTGTGTGCAGCTACCTCTACTTTTGATAAAAGTCCTGCTGACTGGCATCTTTATTTGTCATTTTCTCATAACAGTTTTGGCCCTTGGCCTCCTTCCTCACCCAGGGTGGGGAACAGTGAGTGACTTAGATCCCTCTCCTGATAGCTGGAAGGAACTGGGCGTTGTTGCTGAGGAGAAAGCCAGGAACTTGACCGAGGCTGAGGAACGGGAGCTGGGCAGCTGTGCCCCTCAGCACAGGGCTGGCCGCCAGCTCTCAGGGTATCTGGTGACTGGGAGGGATTCTTCTGCTTCACAACAGGCATTCTATTCTCTTCAGTGCTTCCTGCCCTGATTCCTCCCCTGCTGCGTTTCACTGTGTCCCTCAGCTCTTTAGTAACTACCTCTCATCAAATTTTGCAATTTACTGTAGACTTTACAACCCCAGTCTCTGCCTCTCCTTTCTCTAGAACTGCATTTCTCTTCAAAGCTGAAAGCCAACCAAGAAGATTAAGTTTCCTTTAACTCCTTTTTTTCTTCCAGGTTCCTGGAGCTGACCTCGTTCAACTTATATACCAGGAAGTCTGTATCTCACTTATCAACATTTTAAAGATCCCTCAGCACCCCAGCATTCTCAGTTTGATTGCTCAGAATGACTTAAAAGCTGACAAAGAAGCCAGGCACTCTTTTTTCAGAAACATTCATTACAGTAACATGTTGGTGCTAGGATGCAGCTCGGCTCCCTTTCTTGTAGCCCCTGAGCTCCCCGGTGGTAACAGAGTGGGTTTTGGTTCGTGCCAACCCATTTTTTGTTCCATGCCTATATCATCTTTCTTTTGTGCTCCCCCCGCCTTGATTTCTATAATTTGCCTCTCTTTGAGTGGAATTTCTTCTCTATTTATGGTATTTTATTCTCTTTCTGCTTCTCTCTCTCTCTCTCTCTCTCTCTCTCTCTCTCTCACACACACACACACACACACACACACACACACACACACCCCTAGGGTCACAAGCACAAGCTTCACCTCTGAGTTGCATATACCTCTTTGTGTGATGTTTATTTTTCTACTCAACCTGGTCCTTGTTTCCCTTCCTAGTACCCTTTGTTCTAGGGTTCAGCTAGAAAATCAGGGCCCACTGAAGTTTCTAGACAACTAACGCATGGGTAAGGGCATTTGGGTTGTGTTCAGGGTTCCTTCCTTAGTCTAAACTACTTCTTAAAAATCTAAAAATTACTTTATTACTTTATTTATTTAGTGTATGTCTGGGTTTGAGTGCACCATGGCACATAGGTGGAGGTCAGAAGGCAACTTTCAGGGGGAGTGTCTCTTCTTCTACCATGTGGGTCCCAGGGATTGAACTCAGGCGGTCAGGCTTGCAGCAGGTGCTTTACCCACTGTATCATCCACCCTTAGCCTACTTCTTAAGTGCATGCATAGTCTTTGGTACCCTACTGTCCTCATTTTGCTGCTGTGTCATTAATTTGTGTCTCTTACCAGATGACATTTGTTATCTCAACCTTTTTAGACTTAGACAGATGACTGTCCTAAAAATGGCAGATGAAATCTGAGATACAGAAAAGGTATTCTGAAAGCCTTTTCCCTGAGAGATTGTTGTCTGATCACTCACATCAGCTGTTGTTTTGTGGACAGACACTTGAGAGTCAGAGAGGTTTCTATAGGGCTGGGGGTATAGCTCAGTGTCAGAGTACTTGCCCAGTAAGCACAAGATCCTGAGTTTTATCTTGAGTACAGCCAAAGATGCGATGGCACCTTGAGTTCAAGGCCAACCTGGGCTACATGGTGAGACTGTCTCAAACAATAAAACACAAAAAGCTTCTAGGCAACAGTTTACCTCCCTGGGCTTTTACTGTCTTCATTGGTACAATGGGGCCCTTTTCTCTCAGGGGACCGTGGGGATGCCAGGATGCCAGGAAAAACACTTTGCAAATGGCCCTGGGACGGAGGAAACGGGCAGGGTAGCTGTCCTGATTCTTTTTTGAATCCTTCAGAAGAAGTCAAGTTTTGAGATTTGGTTTGGTTTCCTTTCATTGGGTGTCAGGAAAGACTGCGGTTATTAGTGCTGGAACTGAGTTCTCAGAGGATTTTAAGGAACTCTCATTCTTCTAGGAAGCAGCAGTGAGGCTGGGCCTAGGCTAACATGGCCCCAGGGTTGGGAATCACTGCAAGCCAGTTTCCACGTTCATTTCCAAGGCCTGACTAAAGCTTGTTTTAAAAGGGTGTGTGTGGGCCAAACCCAGAGCAGCCAGGGCTGTTTCAGACTGGCACCACCTCCTCTGGCTGCTTCCAAAGCCACCGGGAGCCCAGTCAGTTAAACGGAAAAGTAGAGAGGATTGCAGAATCAAGAGACCTTTGCGCAGAGGGCTAGAGAGAGGAGAAGGGCGGGAGGGAGGACAGAGAGGAGGGCGCTGGGAGCGGAGGCCCCACCTTTCATTCCATCGCAGTGCACTGGCGGGGCGGGATGAGTCAAGGCCGGCTGGTTCAGCTTTACACCTTCCCCTAGGTGAGGGACTCTGAGCTCCCTGGGGGACACACCGAGGCGCCTGCTCCTCCCGCCAGGCCTTGGCAGGGTGCTGGAACCCTGGGTCTGCGGGGTCTGAGGCCACGGCTGGCTTTTCCTGATGGATGGGCAGAGCCCTCCTCGCGTGCTGCCACTGCTCCTCGGCTTACAGCTCACAGGTAAGGGCTGGTGGGCTTCTGGGTGTTTCTTTCTCCACCGCCCACTCTGTATAAAGATAGGGCTAACGTTGCTGGAAAAAGTTGCGAGAGCTTTGGGCGGCCCGAGGCTCAGGTGCAGTTCGTTTTAGTTGGGACTTTACTGAAACTTCAGAGGCTTGCTTTGGGCAAACAGGTTTAGGTGTGTTTGGCCTCCCGTCATGCAGGCACTGAAAGGGCTTTCTGATCTCAGGTTACTCACCATTCTTGTGTGTCGGCTCTCAACCTCCGGCTGCTGGCAAGATTTGGCCTTTGCCTTTCTGTATGAGGGTTTTGTCTGGCTCTCCCTAGCAAACTGAGATTGTTGGAGAGAACAGGAGCGAGAGACCCACTGTGATTTTGAAACTGCCCCAACATACACATTCCACTCGTAAATATGCCACGTGGTGTAAGGAAACGTTCCAGGGGGCGCAGGCAAGCACCGTTGTAGGTGTGAATTAATATTATTTCTGCACAAGCAATACCGACTCTGATGTGCTGGAAAACTTACCTGCGAGACCATTTTCCATCTAATATAGAACGCGTCATCTTAACTCTCCATGTCTAATCAACGTTAGGATTTTTGTATGTGCTGTCAACCTTATTTGCTGATGTAGGTAGTGTGCTGTTACAATTCTGTAGTACCAAGAGGTTGTGAAGAAAGTCAAAGCAGCAGGCAGTTTGTTATGTGATACTTTTAGTTGGTCTTAGGGATGGGAGGGTCAAGGGTACCTGTGGGTAAAAGTATGAAGGCTCCAGGTGAAAAGAGTTTGAGAGCTGAGGTCTCAATTCTGCCTTCTACTCTGACCAGCTCAGCATTTACTTTGACAGTGTTAGCAGTTTTCTCAACACTCCCACCCCTCCCACCCTTCTCTATCCCGTTTAATCCTTCTTCCCTTCATTACAGCTCTTTGCCCTATAGCAGCTGTGGAAATTTACACCTCCCGGGCTCTGGAGGCTGTTAATGGGACAGATGTCCGGTTAAAATGCACCTTCTCCAGCTTTGCCCCTGTGGGTGATGCCCTAACAGTGACTTGGAATTTCCGTCCTCGAGATGGGGGACGTGAGCAGTTTGTAAGTAGATTCTTGTCAACTTCAAGAGGGACCTTCATTAGGAATGTATTGTCAGTCCATGTTTCCTTTCCCTTCCTGTGTTAACTGACATACACAGGGTTAAGTTGGAAACCAGTTTCTGGGATAGAGACTGAGTAACAGAAGCTAGAGAGTGTTCTGGGGGAGCAGGACAGTTAGTTGGGCTTGCTGATGCTTCTCTTTCACCATCTCAGCCTCCTGGTCTGGCACTGAATGAGAGGTGTCATTTCTCTGCAGGTATTCTACTACCACGTTGATCCCTTCAAGCCCATGAGTGGCCGATTCAAGGACCGGGTGGTCTGGGATGGGAACCCTGAGCGGTACGACGCCTCCATCATCCTCTGGAACCTGCAGTTTGATGACAATGGGACATATACCTGCCAGGTGAAGAACCCACCTGATGTGGATGGGCTGGTAGGGTCGATCCGGCTCAGCGTCGTGCACACTGGTAGGTTGTGCAGGGAAAAAGGGGTTTGAGGAAGTTTGAGAATTGGTAGAAAAGAGAAGGGCCGGCCATCTTTTGTGATATTGGAAGGGTAGAGAGGAAGAGGGCCTAGTGCTTGAGAGCTGGGAACTTCACCTCAGTAACTGGAGTCCTGGGGTGAAAAAAGAAAGGCTTTGTTTGGTTGTGGAAGGAAACAAAGTAAAGCAAAGGGATCTAGAGAATCTGGACAAAACTGGCCTTGAGATCCTGAAAGGGAGAGGAAGCAACTCTGATAAAAGGCTCACAATGAATCTGTTCATTCTCGTGTATTCAAGATGCTTCTTGAGTATCTGCTCTGTGCCAGACACTGTCCAAAGTGCTTGGTAGGCACGATCTCATTTAATCCTGGCATATCCTAGACACAACTATCAATACTGGTAGCTAGAGCTTGCTCAGTGCTTCCCATATGTAGGGGCTTTACACAATGTAATTTTTTTCTTCTTTACACATCCCCTCAGTCTATTGTGTATTTATTGTCTCCCACTTTACCAATAAGGAAACAGAGACCCAAAGAATGAAAGTTACTTGCCCAAAGTCATGTAGTTAACTTTTGAGATCAGAAGAGATGGGATGCATTCAGGGTGGTATGGCAGTAGGCAAAGTTATAGTTAGTAAACAGTAACTTCAGACTCAAATCCAACCATCTCTGACTCTAAGACTGTAGTCTACACTAGTGCATCCTGTTGCTTGCACTCCAAGGACGGCCTGGAAAACAGTGCCACGTAACAGAACACGGACCACAGCACTTCAGAATTGTGGATCTGGGCTTGAGTCCTGGCTAATGTTTATCAATTATGCATAAATTTTGCTTTTCTCAGCTGAAATAATATACCAAAGCTTTTTTGTGAGGGTAAAACTGATATCATGAATTTGTGAAAGTTTCTCAAATGCTGAACTGTAATGATAATTATAATAGGCACTGTGTGCTGCGTGCTTATTATGGGCAGGCCGACATGGAACAATTTATAGGAATTTTTTAACTTAAGAAATGGATATTGTTTGGGCTGGAGAGATGGCTCAGCAGTTAAAAACACTGGTTATTCTTGTAGAAGACCCAGGTTCGAATCCCAGCACCCACATGGCAGCTAACAACTGTCCGTAATTTCAGTCCCAGGGAATCTGACAGCCTCTTCTGACCTCTGTGGGCATTGCGGGACACGGGTGCACTTACCTACATGCAGGCAATACACGCATACACATAAAATAAAAATAATAAAATAAAAAGAATGGATATTGTTATGTCTTAATGTAGGAGGAAATTGAACTTCAAAAAAAATACCTCAGGTCATCACATATTTAGTAGGTAATAAAGCTAGTATTTTAACCTAGTTCTCTCTGGGGCATGTGTGTGTGTGCATGTGTATTTGAGATAAAGTCCTGCTATTTGAGACAAGATCTCTCAGTGTAGCCCAGACTGGCCTCAAACTTGAGGTCCTCCTGCCTTAACCTTCTAAGAACTGAAGTGGTGTGTGCTCTTAACCAACACAGAGCATTGCTATTCAAACGTCTTAGTCTGTAAAGTGATAAGTCCCTTCTTTCACTCCTCCCCAGTAAAGTTTAAAAACATCGCTCAAGGTTCCATCAACAGAGAGCTGTGTGGCCTACAAAGTCATCTGAAAACTGAAGTAATGTAATGCCTTTGGACCTCTGTTCTAATGATAGGTTAGGCAAGAACCAGTGGTTTAACATAGCAGAATCACTATTTTTTGAGAGCCTACTAAAAGCCGTGGCCCTATGTCCTCCCCCAAAGAGATGTGAATTTTTTGCAGGCCATCCCCCATTACCTGTCCTTGGAGGATTCCAGACTGGAAACTCCTGGGCTAGACAGTCTCTTGATGTCCTTTCTGGCACTTAAGGCTTATTGATTGACTTGCCTGTCTTCCCAGATGCCAACAACTTCTTGAGAATAATGTCTTTGGCTTTTCATTTCTATCAGAGTGCGTAGAACAGAGTAGGTCTTTATCCTGAATAAATGACTGACTGAATGAGGGGTGAGGTAGAATCAGGCAGTAATGAGTTGGGCATAGGTCTGACTAGGTTAGCAATAACCTTGCATTACCGTGCAGCTCACTGAGTCAGTGGCTCTCAATACTTGGTGTTGTCATAATCACCTGGGGGACATGTTAAAACAGATTGCTGGACCTTACTCCCAGTGGTTCGAATTCAGCACAGCTGGGGTGGGGCCTGAGAACTTCCATTTCAAAGTTCTCAAATGATGCTGTTGCTGCTTCTAGGATCACACTAGAGAACTGCTGATGCAGCCTGTGTGCCTTTCCTGTGCTGCCAAGGTCTGCAGCATAATATGGTATTTTACATGTAGAGGTAGGAGAAAAGAAGAATCCATTTAATGATAAAATACATCCGTAAAGATAAATTTGGGATTTCACCCTAATTAAAAAAAAATTATTGTTTTATTTTTATTTTATATTTTATTACTATGGCAGGGTTTTTGTTTTTTGTCTTTAAAAATATTTATTTTTATTTTATTTATATGTATGAGTGTATTGCTTGCATGTATGTAAGTGCATCCATGTCATGCAATGCTCACAGAGGTCAGAAGAGGACATTGGCCCCCCTGGAACTGGAGTTGTGGACAGTTGTTAGCTGCCATGTGGGTGTTGGGAATTAGAACCCAGGTTGTCAGGAAGAACAGCCAGTGCTCTTAACAGCGGAACTATCTTTCCAGCCACTCAAATATTTATTTAAAAGATTTATTTTTATTTTATGCATATAATTGTTTTGCCTGTCTAGGTACAGTGCCTACAGATGCCAGAAGAGGGCAACAGAGTTGCCATGTAGGTTCTGGGAATGGAATCCAGGTCCTTTGCAAGAGCTGCAAGTATGCTTAACCATTGAGCTATCTCAGGTCCCCTGCAAGAGTAGTTCATCAGTTCATGCTCTTAACCAGGCCGTCTTTTTTTTTTTTTTCCTTTTTAAAAGAGCTCTAATGTATTGCTTCATCTTTTTTCTCCCTAAAGTGCCCTTCTCTGAAATCTACTTCCTGGCTGTGGCCATTGGCTCTGCTTCTGCCCTGATGATCATAATAGTAATTGTGGTGGTCCTCCTCCAGCACTTCCGAAAAAAACGATTGGCTGAAAGAGCTGATAAAGAGGTGGCGATAAAATCGTAAGTTGGGCACTGATGGGAAAGTATTGCTTCATCTTTTTTCTCCCTAAAGTGCCCTTCTCTGAAATCTACTTCCTGGCTGTGGCCATTGGCTCTGCTTCTGCCCTGATGATCATAATAGTAATTGTGGTGGTCCTCCTCCAGCACTTCCGAAAAAAACGATTGGCTGAAAGAGCTGATAAAGAGGTGGCGATAAAATCGTAAGTTGGGCACTGATGGGAAAGCCTGCTAACACTGTCTTATGGTCACTCTTGGCTATTTTCAGTGGGGCCAAATAACCACTGAACAGTTGTTCTTCTATTTGAGCAAATGCTATGTGAAAGATTGCCAATTCACAGCCAGGCGTGATGGTGCACTTTAATCCCAGCACTCGGGAGGCAGAGGCAGGCGGATCTCTATGAGTTCAAGGCCAACCTGGTCTACATAGTGAGTTCTAGGCCAGCTGGGGCTACAGGAAGACCCTGTCTCAAAAAGACAAAAAAATAAAATAAGATTGACAATTCACAGGACAGATAAAGTGGCGTATGGACAGTAACTTTACTAAAGAGTTTTCTTTTTTTAAAATTTTATTTATTATTTTAATTTTATGGGTATGAGTGTATTACCTGCATGTATATAAGTGCACCGTGTTGTGCAATGTGTGCAGAGGTCAGAAGAGAGTGTTGGAGTCCCCTCTACCTGGAGTTATGGAAAGCTGTCAACTGCCATATGGGTGCTGGGGATTGAACCCAGGTCCTATGCAAGAGTAGCCAGTGCTCTTAAAAGATTTCTTAATGTTGTTGGAGAGTTGGCTCAATGGCTAAAAGCTGATACTGTTCTTTCAAAGAACCCAAGTTCACTTCCCAGCACAAACAGCTGGAAGCTCACAACCACTTGTAATTATAGCTCAAGGCCTCCTCTGGCACTACACTCACCTGCACAAACCCACATCCAGGCAGACAGGCAGACACACACATACAATTAAAAATAGAATAAAAATTTAAACAATAGCGGAACCCCAAAAGGTTTCTTAATTTTACAAAAATCTTTCATCTCAGAATTCATTATTATGTGGGATTTGATGGTATAAAAATATGCTTATGTGAAGCTTTTTAAAATATCCCCTGGAAAGCAAAGTACACATTTGCTAGAGCCACAGGGCTAGGCAGTCAGCAGAGTCATTATGAGTCAGTGCACTGGAAAGTTTGCTGTGCTGACAGTGAGTGCTTGGTAAACATTTTAAAATTGAGATAAAATTTATGTGCTATGAAATTCACCCCTTTAAATATTCACAAAGTTGTGCAGTGATCACCAGTTCCAGTGAGCGCTGCAGAAATGCCACATCTTCCTGGTGTCATTCCTCACCCCCCATCCCAGCCTTTGGCACCCAACTCATTTACTGTCTATCTGTGGGGGTGTGTCTCTCCAGGGCATTTCCTATAAATGGGAATATAAAAACGTGGCCTTTTGTATCTAGCTTCCTTCACATAGTATGTTCTCAAATGTATCAATATTGTGATATACTTACTACTTCATTCCTTTTGTGTGTGTGCATCCACTTGGAAGTCAGAGGTGGAGAGACATTGGGTGTTTTCCTCTATCACTCTCCACCTTACTCTTTTGAGACAATGGTCTCTCACTGAACCTTGGAGCTCACTGATTGGCTAGACTAGACGTTCAGCAAGCCTTCAGGACTGGGACTACAGCGTTTTACATGGATGCCAGTGGATCTGAACTCAGATGTTAATCTTGTGCAGCAAGCACTATATACAGTGAACCATCTCCCTAGCATACTTTTTTTTTATGTAATGGGTATACCACATGTTGCTTATCCATTCATTAGTTGATGGACATTTAGTCCTTTTTTCCTGCTTTTTGGTTATTATGACCAATACTACTAGGAACATTCATTTACACAAATTTTTGTGTAGATATATTTTCAATTCTCTTAGGAGTGAAGGGAAATTACTGAGTCATTGTTAACTAATTTTTGAAGGAACTTTCAGACTGTTTTCCCAAAAGAGCTAATACATTCTTGTCACCAATATATGTGGGTTCTAATTTCTCCACAGCCTCACCAGTAGACTGTTACATCCCTTGGAACTGGAGTTACAGACAGTTGTTAGCTGCCATGTGGGTGCTGGGATTTGAACCTGCATCTTCTGCAAGAACAGCCAGTTTTCTTAATTGCTGAGCCATCTCTCCAGCCCCCTGGATACCAATCCTTTATCAGTTAGCTATATAACCTTCAATTACTTTCTCCCATTCTGTGGGGTTCTTTTCCCTTTCTTGAATATTATCCTTTAAGACACAAAAGTTTTGAATTTTGATAAAGTCCAATTTAAATTTGATGAAGTCTAACTCTCCTAAGAGCCAATTTTTGTATATGGTTGAGGAAAGATTTCCAATCCATTCTTTTGCATGTGGATTTATAGTTATCTCAGAACAATTATTTCTTTTCCTTAGTAAATATTTACTGAAATAAATGTGATTGTAAAGAATCTAAGAAACCCACTTATGACATTCTGGTTTGAAAAGAATATAATCAATAAAGAGGACTTCTAGGCCAACCAAAAAGTTTTTCTTTTTAATTACATGTATGTGTGTGTGTCTATGTGGGACACAAAGACCCGTGCACTTGAGTGCAGGTGTCCACTGAAATCCAGAGGTACCAGATCCCATGGAGTTGAAGTTACAGGTAGTTGTGAGTCACCCAACATGGGTGTTGGAAATTGAATTTAGGTCCTCTGAAAGGGCAGCAAGTGTCCTGGACTGCTGAGCTATCTCTCTAGCCCAATATTTTCTTTTTCTTTTTCTTTTTTTTAAAACAGTAGAAATCAGATATAGGGGGCTGGAGAGATGACTCAGCAGTTAAGAGCACTGGCTACTTTTTCAGAGGACCTGGGTTTGATTCCCAGTACCCACATGGCTGCTAACAAGTCTGTAACTCAGCTCCGATGTCCTCTTCTGACCTCTACAGGCACTGCATGACATGGGTGCACTTACCTACATGCAGGCAATACACTCATACATAAAATAAAAATAATAAATGTTAAATAAAAAAGAAATCAGGATACTAATGATAAAGTATAGGTGCATGCTTTAAACTTCTGGAGTTCCCAACTTGAATCCCAATGGAATTGCCTTCTATTCTGAAAAGTGTCTAAGTTCAGATACATAGGATCATGTGCAGACATCAGTATTACCAATTACATGGCATTGGAGGTTTAACTCTCTGTAAGCTTGAGCCAACTCCCAGGTACATGTAATTCTTCCCAAAATATGGGGAAGAAAATGCCTGAGATTCCTGACAGGATCTGCTATGATTGTTTCTTGCCTTGCTCACTTGACATTTGGTTTCTGCCTCTTTGTTACAGAAAAGAAGAGGAAAAGCTCAACCAAGAAAACAAGGTCTCTGTTTATTTAGAAGATACAGACTAACATTCCTAGGTAAGGTCCACAAATGAGTGAACAGTTCCTCAGCTTTCTGAACTACCTAGGCCTTCTCCAACACAGATCTCTCAGATTACTCTATATGGCTGTTAAGTATTTTCTACAAGAAAGCAGAGACTCTGGGTCAGGGAGGTATGTTTTCTGTTTGTCTCATAGACAGGTTCCCCTTTCAGTGCATTTGTGCAAAGGATTGATAAGTCAGACTATTGCCATTAAAGCTGAGTGAATTCTACTCTGAGGCTTTGGGGTCATATTAATCACCACCAATAATAAACTTTCAGCACGTAAATAAGTGTGTGTGTGTGTGTGTCTGTGTGTGCGTGTGCTTGTGGAGGTCAGAGGACAACCTCAGGTGCCATCTGCCTTGTTTTTTGTGACAGTATCTCATGGGCCTGGGGTTTGGTGTTTAGGCTAGGTTGTCTGGGTAATGAGCTCTAGGGATCCACCTCTCTGCCTCCCCAGTCCTGGGATTATAAGCATGTGCCACCATTCCCAACTATTTTACATGGGTTCTGATGATTGAACACGGGTCCTTATACATGCCCAGCAAGGACTTCACCAATTGAGCTATCGCCCAGTCCAATAAATCATTTAAAATGAAAAGATTAATATATCTGGTGGCTTGGTTTTTATTATAAACCAATTGTGGCATTAAGAGAGTAACCTGAAGACTGGAGAGATGGCTCAGAGGTCAAAAGTTCTTCATGCTCTTCCAGAGGACCCAAGTTCTGTTTCTAGCACCCACATCAGGTGGCTCACAATCACCTGTAACACCAGCTCCAGGGTATCTACTGCCCTCTTCTGGCTTCTGCAGGCACTACACACATGTACTATACATTCATACAGACACACAAACATACACATTTTCTTTTAAAGTGTGACTTAATAGGTATGCCTGCTGGGCATGGTGGCATACACGCCTTTAGTCTCAGCACTCGAGAGGCAGAGGCAGGTGGAGCTCTGAGTTTGAGGCCAGCCTGGTCTACAAAGTGAGTTCCAGGCCAGCTGGGGCTACAAGAAGATGCTGTCTCAAAAAGACCAAAAAAAAACAAAAACAAAAACAACAACAAAAAGTATGACTGACATTTCCTCAAGAGAACTTTTGCATTATTTAGAATTGATTTCAATTCCTCTTCTCATTTAGTTATTGCACTATGAATCTAGTTTTAGTATGAAATTTTGTTTTTCCAATTTTTAGGTTTCTCAGGCTTAACGATAGAATGACTTATCTTTTATATGCTTGGGATTTCTCTAATTCTCTGAAGTAGGTCCACATATTTGATTTCTAGATGTTGTGAATCAACATATACGAATTTTACACTTATAAAAATATTCTTGATGTTAATGATTTTAACCCGTACTACTCTGGTTCTCCTAAAAGGGAGGACGCTTTTATAGATTATCACTAGTTATAAAGAGAGTCACATTTTATAGACTAAAGCTACAGTGGAATACATATTAATAAAACAGAATGAAGAACAGATATTGTTCTGCAAAAACAGAAAACCTGACTTGGCACCAGAGAGGTTTTTTTTAAAATATTTTATTTATTTTTATTTTATGTGTACGCATGTATTGCCTGCATGTAGGTAAGTGCACTCGTGTTCTGCACCAGAGAGTTCTTATTAAAGATTATTGTCTTGTGAAAATGAAGCAGATTCTCTAACGTCAGAGTCATGGAAAATAGATGAGGGCTGTTTAAGATTAAAGGAAATTTAAGAAGTCAATACAATCATAATCTCTGACTGGGTGGGGGTGGGTACAGATGTAAACAAATGACAAAAAATTGGAGGTTGCCATTATAAAGATCTTGAGAATAAAAACATTAAATATATGTATTTATTAGATTATTAGATTAGGTTATTAGATTTTATTAGGTACATAATGGTATTGTGGTTGCAAAGGGAAATGTCCTGCCATGGCATGGGGGTGGGGGTGGAGAAATGATGGCTCAGTGGTTAAGAACATTGATGCTCTTACAGAGGACCCTGATTTGGTTCCTAGCGCTAATATGGTGGCTCACAAATGCCTATAACTCCAGTTCCAGGGGATTCAACATCCTCTTCTGGCCTCCTTGAGCACCAGGCATGCAAGCAAAACACTCAAACATATAAAATATACATAAGTTTTTTTTTTTAAGAACATGCATATTTTAGTGAATATGTAGACATTTGTAATTAAAAAAAAAAACTTCACCCAAAAACCTGAAACCCTAACAAATAATACAAAACAAAAACAAAAAAACCAAACCACAAACAAAATCCCCTCCTAAAACAAAACAAGTTTTAAAACTGGGTGATGGATGAATTCCATGTATTGACTTCTCTACTTTCCCGTATGTTGAGTTTGTCTTGGGGGAGCATGGATTTTAAGCATGTGTGTGATCTGTGGATCACCAAAGTGTCCATACAAGCGTCTTAGAAAAGATACTACCAGTGTGGTAGCATATGCCTATAATGCCAGCACTCGGGAAGCGGAGGCAGAAGGACTGCTGGGAGTTCAAGGCCTGTCTAGGCTACATAATGTTAGGTCAACCAGAGCTACACTACAAGCTCCTGTGTCAAGAAAACAAAACATAACACGCTAAAAAAACAAAGACACTGGATCTGAGAACAGTGTAATAAGGGAACTTTTTCAACTGAATATTAAATTAGGAGCTGGTGTGGTGGCACATGCCTTTATTCCCAGCACTCAGGAGGCAGAGGCAGATTGATCTCTGTGAGTTCAGGCCAACTGGTCAAGATAGCGAGTTCCAGGCCAGCTGGGGCTACAGGGAGATTGTTTTCCTTTAGAAATGGATTCTAGATAAATGTATGTGATGCACAATGCAGTCGTTCTTATTATACTCTCCCCAAGTCCCTTATCCTTTTCAACTTTTGTATTTCAGGAAGCTGAAGGTTTCCAACGACAAGAACCCTGGCATCCCTTGAAGTCAAGGGAAACTTTTGAGTTTTTCAGTAATGACTGTCATCCAACAAGTTCTGCAGCGCGTACACACCTAGATCAGCAATGTCCCTCCAAAGGCAGCTCATGGCTCCTGTTGAGCAGATGCAGCCAGACTCACACTCTCATGACTAGGTTTTATTTAATTTCAGAGTGCATATATGTATTAGCTCCTGTGAATTAAGACGTTACATGTTGCCCTTAAACATTCCTTATGGAATATGATTCTTGTGCTCTTATTCTGGCATCAAAAGGGATAAAAGCCAGCCTTTAGGGCAGCTCTGCCACCACCGAAGTTAATGTTAACTCTCTTTCCCTCCCACACTTTCAGTTAGAGATGAGCTGAATTTCCCAGCCATTTTTGATCAACAGCAAACCCCAAGTTCACACTGGAAGTCTGATTTTTATGACTCAAGTATTGGACACATCTTGTTTTTACTGGATTTCTTTCAGTATCCTAGGTGATAGATTTTTTTTTTGTCAGTTAATCCAAGGTTTACATTAAATAGCACAATTCTAACCACAGTTAACTACAAAAGGTTAAAAAAAATGCCATTATATCGGCAAATGCCACCTCAGGATGAATCATCACTGTTTTTCTGTATTGTGAAAAATAAGCAACAGTGTATGTCTGTAATGAGTGGAGAAAGCTTATCTCCTCCCCCACTCAATTATCTCTAACAGAGCAAAGTATATGCTCATTTGAGAACTGAATCATTAAGCAGTTTAATAGGAGATTCTGAACCAACCCTAAGTGATGACAGTTTTGTACAGTATTATACAAAGCTCTAAGAACTTAAAAAGATCATTTAACTTCCTCTCCCTTTTTGTTGTGATTCACCTTATTTTAAGGAGACTTTGGTATGGACCAAAGGAATATCAAAATTGATTAAACTGAATGAAACCAACTGTATTTCACACCCTTCCCCCCTTATTTTGGTAGATAAAGCAAACTTTTCAAGTGGATTATGTAAAGAATCCTTTTTTAAAGTGGCTAGTTACCTGGTATGCTGCTCACACTTGTCACATTTGTTTAAAGGACAGAAAATATATAGAAGTTGGGACCCAAGATGAATCTTTACAGCTTGATGTCTTCATTCTCACTGACTAGGCTGCAGAGATGATTTCTTTGAACAAACTGGAATTTTCAATAGATTCTATTTCAAGATACCAGGCCTTGATACTTTCTCAGTATTTTTAAAAAGAGGCATCATTTACATATGAATCTTAATTCTGTACCTCTCATTCTGCCTTTTATACTGCCTAAAAAACTTTCAACACCCATTTTGAAGCTAAAGTTGAGATCCATATTTTGTATTTTTCTTCATAATTCACTTTTGTAAATAACAACTGGATATTTTGTCAATTGGCCCAGGTGACGTTCCACAACTGTAATGAAGTAGTTAAAAACTCATGGAGAATTTTCCAGCAAACTTGTAACTTGTGTCTCTTCTAAGAACTCAAGGTATATTGTGGCCTTGTTGTCTTTTCCTAAAGAGTACTTTTGTACTGTAACTTATTTTTTATTATGCCTGAAACACTATGTAAATAAACCTTTAGAAATAAAGAATTATAAATTATATAATTTGCTTACATTCAAATCGTCAAAATTTACAAAGCAGTTAATAACAGAAAACAGGGGTATACATTTTGTTTTCCTGAAGTTTTCTTCATAGACAGCCTGAAAGTCAGTGATGGAGAACATTCCCTTCTATTAGATATAGAATACTATGTGGATTTCTATAGACTTTCCACATTGTTTTGGATAGCTGGGAATTGGGCAAAACGATACAACATAGGTCGAAGACTGGTTTCTCAAGACAGGGTCTCTACGTAGCACAGGTTGGTCTTCATGCTCCTGCCTCAGCCTTCCAGATGTTGAGATTATAGGCTTCTGCAATCCTGCCTGGTTTAGGTTGGGGACTTTTGAAACAATAGTATCAAGTTTTCTACTTGGTACTTTTATTTCTTCATAGAGAAACTACCAGCTTTCCAAAATCTACTAAAAGTACGCCAGTTGAAAAATAGAACGCTATTAGGTGTTTCCCAGAGCTGAGGGTTTTGTTCTTCCCCCTTGACTGCTTTGGCAGCTCCTGGAGGACTGGGTAACTAGATTGGTCAAGCAAGGTCCTGTACTGTCTTTTTCAGGATGTTAGATAATCTCATTTTACCTCAAGTTCTATGATGTAATTTTTACTTTTCTGAATAAAAGATCCACAAGCCCTAGTTCCCCTTCCCGTCTAATACATGCTGTAATGATTTCATCATCGTCACTGTCAACAGTAATAAGCATCCAGTTCTGGATGATGTAATAGCTACATTAAATGAAACTAGAACCAGAGGCCTTAATGTATTGGTCACAGGGTGTACCACGACTTTACTGACTGATCTTGCATGCTCTTCTGCGTCTCTTTGAACTTAAAATGTACAAGAATCTTCTTTGAGAGTTCAACTAAAATAACCTCTAGAGACCCAACAACGTGTGGAGTAGTCAGAGGATCAAGGCTGGTTCTACAGAACCCCCTAAAAATTATTTTCCCAAAGTCTGTAGCCTACTTTAATTTCAAGCAGACGAGGGCAATCAGAATCGCTGGACACTGAAACCACTGAAATGGTCAGATACTGCTAAGAGGCTGGGTCCCTGCCGCAAATCCGGCTGACCATTTTAAAGTGGCTCCCGCGCTGACGTCACGTCCGGTGTCACCTGCGTGGTTCCCGGGAGCAGTAAACAAGGTGTGCAAGTCTCGGAAGACCCGTCGGGATGCCACAGAGGATGCAGCAGCGCGGAGCGGCAGGAGGCCGTGGCTGCGCTCTCTTTCGACTACTGAGCATCCTGCTCTTCCCAGGTGAGTGCGTCGGCTGGCTGGGCTCCACTTCCGGCCGGCGGAGGTGGGGGGCGGGTGGTCAGGGAAGATGGTCGCTTTTCCGGTTCCGGGTGTGTGTGTTGGGGGGGGTCTCAGGAAAGCCCCCTCTCGGCTTCGGGGAAGGAAGGAAGGAAGGAAGGAAGGAAGGAAGGGAGGGCAGGCTGTGGAGGCGGTTCTTGGGTTGGCACCACCCACCGCGCTGCTGGTCTTCGGCTCCCGGGGCTGCAGCCCGACCCCCTCGCGGGACTCCGCGTCCTTCCTGGCCGCGCGGCCGCAGGAACTCCGGCTCTGGGGGCACCCGCGGGTCGGGATCCTGGTTGCTGTGGGCTGTTACACCGTGGTTAGAAAAAGGCAGTTTTAGTGGCTAGTAGTTTGTCCCAGTGATTTTGGGAGACAAAAATCCTGTTAGGGCTGGGAAAAAAAGAAAAATCATGACTTTCGGAAATTTTACTTATGATGGGGCTACGAAGTAAAACGTTTATTAGAGAAGGAAATTGGGGATTTTGTTATGACAGGCCCTATTGTTGAAGAAAAAGCAACCACCTTAGCACTTAAAAGCATTTTGAGATATAATAAAGGGGATATCGGTTCTTTCAAACTTAAGCTTTTTAACTATTGTCAGAAGTGCAGTATCGACACAGTGACATTGTAAAAATTGGATATATTTGCTTTCATGCTATTTCCAAATTGCCTGTTTCAATCCAAACTATATTTGGGGTGCAGTCATTACCTGTATTCATTTATATTTCTCTCTCTCCCCCACTTGGAAATCAAAAATTATTACAACTAACATTAGAATGAATTATAACATTTCCTGAAAATAATGATTTCTGAAAGGAATCTTTAATATTATATAAATATGAAGACATTAGGCGTCCTGAATCTCATCAAGTAAGGCAAGGAAGTTTTTATCTGGTGACTAATAAGCATGCTGCCAGCACACTCCCTGATCCCTCCCAGTTACCTGTGTCATAAGTGTCCAGTTTTTCAGCTCAGTTCTTTTTGCAATATACTATTAGTCAGGCCTATATATACTGTCACTTTGTATAAACTCAGATCTCTCTTTTTCATATGCACATAGACACAGAGGCATAGGTAGGAGTGTTAAACTCTTGTCCTGTTGAGAAAAAAATGGGTCTTTTCTTAAACCTAATGTCATTTCACACTGAAGAACATCTGTGTGAAACCTAGCAGACTAAATGATTCATACATTAAAAGTTAATTTTATGGGACTGTTGAGCTGGCCCAGTAGGTAAAGGTGTTTGCCATGCAAGCCCGACAACCTGAGGTCGACCCCTGGAACCCACATAAAGGTGGAAGGCGAGAACTAGTTACACGCACACACACACACACACACACACACACACACACACACACACACACACAATAAAGTTTTAAAAGTTTTATGATCTCTGTGTACTTTGCATAGATCTATATTCCTTAGCCATCCCTCCAAGCCTTGTTGAATAAATTTATATTTTGCCTTTAAATAATAACAGGCTTAGCCAGGCATGGTGGTACACGCCTTTAATCCCAGCACTCGGGAGGCAGAGGCAGGCAGATCTCTGTGCGTTCGAGTCCAGCCTGGTCTACATAGTGAGTTCCAGGACAGCTGGGGCTACAGGGAGACCCTGTCTCAAAAAGACCAAAAAAAAAAAAAAAAAAAAACAAAACCCAAAACCCAACAACCCCTCCCAGGTTTATTGATATATAATTCATCTGTCATACTTAGCCATTTAAGTATATGGTTCGATAATTTTTAGTATTTGCATAGTTATGCAATCATTACTGAAACCATTTTTAGAGCATTTTCATCACCTGGAAGAGAAATCCCATGCCCATTCCTACTTTCCCACAGGCCCTGGCAACCACCAATCTGCTACCTTTATAGATTTGCCTATTCTGGGCCTTTCATGTAGCAGGAACCATGCAACGTGCCATGTTTTCAATATTTATCTGCTGGCTGTTTTTTGTTTGTTTTGGTGTCTTTTTTGAATCTTAGGTGATAGGCGTTGATTTCCCACTAGTGTTTATTTGCCATCCGTCTTCAAAAATAGAAGCCCTTAAATTGTTAGCTTGTTTGAATTTGTTTTATGTCTGTTCCTGCTATTTCAGTTGTCTAAATGTATAGAAATGATAGACTAGGAGCCTGGGGATGCAGCTCAGTTGGTAAAATGCTTGCCTAGCATGCATGAAGCCTTGAGTTCAACCTTGTTTATGCATTGCATAAACAAGGCATGGTGGTGCGTGGGTGTAATCCTAGAACAAGGAGGATCAGAAGTTCAAGATCATCCTCAGCTTTACACTGAGTTTGAGTCCAGCCTGTGAGACTTAAGAGTCTGTTTTAAGAACAGGAGGACAGGCTGGGCGTTGTGGCACATGCCTTTAATCCCAGCACTCTGGAGGCAGGGGAGGAGGAGGTAAAGATAGATGAGAGAGCCCAGTATTAATTATACTTTTCTCTTTTCCATGTAAGTACAATTATATGAATGAAAGATTGTCAGATTTACAGTAGAAAATGGACTGTATAAAATTGAGAACTTTATCATGTTTAATTTCTTTCAGCTTCAAAATTGAGTTAGAATATGATTTTCTTGTTTCCCCTCCAGATTAAATGTTTTTATTAATTTTCATGGATATTTCTATGGTTGCCTGTTTTAATTTGGCAAGAATGTTTCTTGACTCAGGTGAAAGAGTAAATACCAAGCCAGAGCTAAAAGCATGGGATCCCAGTACTTCAGAGACAGAGGCGGGTGTTGAAGGCTAGCCTAACGTGGGCCACATAGCATGATCTGGTTCAAAAAAACAAAACCCAAGTTAAATACCTGAAAAAAAATTATGCTAAAATGGAAACTTTTAAGTGACTGTAACATAGGATTTGAAAGCAAGATCCTTAAGAAGGAAAGAAGGAATTTGATAGAGATAAGGAGAGGGAGGGATAGAGAAAGGGTAGTGGAGAGAGAGAGAGAGAGAGAGAGAGAGAGAGAGAGAGAGAGAGAGAGAGATTGAGATTGACTATATAATCAGTGCAGAGAGCTGGCAGGAGGGGCTACAAAGATTCTGATTTCTAACTGTATCTCTAGCCCAGATCTTTTCTTTTCTCTAAATCAAGTGTTGGCAACCTTTTCCTATAATGGAACAGATAGCAAATATCTTAGGCTTTCCAGGCACATGTTGCAGATACTTAGTTCTGCCAAACATACAGAAATGAACACAAGCAATGAACGTGGCTGCATTCTAATAAAGCTTTGTTTACATAAAGATGTTGAAAATTTTTTAGCTGTTTACCAGGAGACTGCTGGAGGTATTGATTTGTTGGGGCCAATCTGGGTCACTTGAAGAGCTAGGAGTAGGGTTACTTGCTAGTTATTCTGAGCTTGCTCTCCTCCTGAGTCATTTGCTTCCATTCTCTCATGGGTCATAGCTTGCTGACCCTTGACCAACTGGTTCTTGACATTATTTCTTAGGTATCAAGATACCTAAACTCATCCAGAATCAAATTCATGTTCCCTGCCAAGTCTGGTACATTTCTTTTTTTCCTTTTTCAGTGAATGACTTTACTCAGTCAGAAACCTGGAAGTCATTCTTGACACCTTCCTTCCCTAGTATTAGTCTCTTATGGTAACTGCATTTGTGTGATTTTTCCCTTTTAGTGCATCAGCCTAATCTAGAATTTCCATTCTGTAATGAGGATGACAGGGAGAACATGGGTAAACAATGAGCACATTTTATTCTTCTACTAGAAAGCATGGTGACCTTCGTTCAGTTTCTCATTGGCTGCTTCCTTCTCTTTGAGGTTTTGCCCTGAAGCTGCTTGTATTTCCTGGAGGAAAGAGCCTTTATAAATCAGGTGTAACAGTGACAGGTGCACTTGAGTAGAATTATATACTAAACATTAGGAGAACATCAAAGAAAAAGCAATGAACTTTAATTGGGGAATTTGGGGCCACATCACAAAGGGGACTGATACTTGAGCTGTGGTGTGTGAGCGTTGGGGATGTGGTGTGGTGTAGAACAACCCAGTCATGCTGGTAGGGATGGGGATATCCTTCCAGACAAAGGCATATTCAAAGAAAGGCCCAAGGCCATGAAAGGGCACAGCACCTTCAGTAAATGTCTGGACATTGCAATGACTTATATTACTGAAGTTTTTATCTCAAGAGTTCCACTAAGAATTTCATGGGTATTTATATATTCATTGTGGTGCCTAGGAATAGAACACAAGGCCTCACATACATGTTCTGCAACTAAACCCTTATATTTTTAAATTGTATTGGATCTTCACAGCCATCCAAAGAGAGTTATTATTTCCATTTACCAAATGAGGAAATTGAAGCTTGAACAGGTTGCTAACTGTGGTCTAGGTCTCCCAGCCAGAAATCAGATGGGCTAGAACTTGGGTCCAAGTCTAGCTAATTCCAAATCTGTACTTTAAAACTCTATATTATACTTAACATTGGAGGATTTAAAACAATAATAAGATGAGGTGGGCTGGAGAGATGGCTCAGTAGTTAAGAGTACTGGCTGTTCTTCCAGAGAACCTGGGTTCAATTCCCAGCACCCACATGACAGCTAACAATAGTCCATAACTCCAGTTACAGTGGATCTGGTCTCCTGGGCTTTGCTCAACACAAAAGGCCTGGCATGGGTGCACTTACATACATCTGCATGTATATATGTACACTCATACACATAGCATAAAATAAATTAATTAAAAATATGATGAGGTAACATAGTTTATTGTTCATTCCTACCTTTCAGTTTTTAGAGCTGAATATTTATTTATTTCTTTGGTCTTTTTTTTTTTTTTTTTTTAAATTTTTTTTGTCTTTTTGAGATGTGTCTCAGAAGTTGTATTGTCCTTTTCACTGAATTCCAGGAATTCTTTTATTTCTTTCTTAATTTCTCCTTTGACTCACTCATCATTCTGGAGTGTGTTGTTAAATCTCCATGAGTTTTTTTTTTGAAATAGGGTCTCCCTGTAGCCCCTGCTGGCCTGGAACTCACTATGTAGACCAGACTGACCTTGAACTCTCAGCGATCTACCCGCCTCTGCTTCCCAAGTACTGGGACTAAAGGTATCCGCCACCACACTCAGGTCTAGGCCCAAATCTTGGGTGCTGAATAAGCACTTTTTTTCACATTGATGACTCAGAAGTGAGGGGGGATGAAGGCAGAGGAAAGATTGTTTGCAAAGACATTAAAAGAATGACAAATCTAGCATTGGCAGAGTCAGAAAAAGATGCTATGGAAGAGCCAGGTGACCATCAACTTTGAGATGGGTCAGATTCTTATTGAAGTCCTTATTAGAGAGCTCTGCCTTGGTCTCCTCCTTTCAAGAGGAATGTGACCAGACTAGACTGTCAAGAGAGGAGTGAGAAAATGATTCAAAGCTGGCAGAGGTGAAGACTGTGGAACCCATGACTCAGATGCACCTGTGGTAGAAAAGGTTAAGAGAGGGAAGGAGAATGAAGGGCTGATGGTATCAGCATGACTTTCTGGGTCTTTTAACTCATTTAATTCTCACAGTGGCCTAGAGGTAAGCTCTCCTATCATTTTTGCCGGGGTGAGCAAATTGAAGTAAAGTAACTTGCTAAGGTTTCGCAGAGCCAGGGAGTGGGAGGACTAGAATTTGAACCTGGATCTTCTGGCTTAGGTGCCTTTGTGTTCAGTCATTATACCATCCTGCCTGTGCCAGAAGGACCATTGTTTTCAGCACAGTGTGTGGGTTTGCTCTTTTCTGAAATTTTGCTGCTCTGTTTGCCTTGGGCTACTAGAAAAATCATGGTTTAGTGAGGTAGAGGAGGGAACAGGAAAGGCAAAATACTAGTGACTTAATTTCCTAAAACATGGTTCGCTAGTGGGAGATAAATTTTTATTTACTGTTTTCCAACAACAGAAGGCATTGGTCAGAAGAAATGTGCCAGATTTTTGTGGGGAGATTGGGTGTCAAAGTTGGAAATGAATGGTTTGGAAAGATTGTTTTTTGGAGGGCTTAAAAATGGTATTTATTGTAGAGCACATTGAATTTTAATTTTTTCCTCTCCATAATTTACTTTTTCCCCTGGTGCCATGTTTGAAACCCAGGGCTTTCCAAGTGCAAGGCAGGTTCTCTACCACTGAAGTACACCTCTAGCCTTCCATAATTTACTTTTAATAGATGTGTGATTCATTAACCAGCTTCAAGGGAGAAAAGCTAGGTGTGGTGGTACATGCCTGTAATCCCAGCACTTGGGAGGGAGACTGAGTCAGGCGGATTATGAGTTTAGGCCAGGCCAGGCCAGGCTGGGTTGCATTATAAGACCTTGTCTCAAAAGAAAAGAAAAGAAAAAAAATCAAAGAAAAGAAAAGCAGGAAGAAGAGGAGGAAGAAAGAAGAACAAAGACTAGGTAGAACCCTACCCTCTGGGGCAGTTATTTTAAAAAATCCATTTCCCTTTTTATTTTCTACTCTCACTTTGCTACTGATTGAGGCACTGGTAGCTTCATGCTGTAACCAGACTGGGCTTGGATAAGTTCTTTAAACCCCATAAAAATTGCTGCATTCCTGGAGCATGTGTGGTCTGGGTGAAGGATGGGAGGGAGTGGGTATTGTTGCTTTTTCGCTGTTAATGGACATCCATGGCTTGTTTGTATTTACTTTAACCACAAGCCTGTGTTTGGAAAAGTGCTGGTGTAGCTAGATTTTAAATTTTTACTCAAGTATTTACTATGATTTAAGATTACAAAATGATAAAAATGTTACTCACGATGAATTGATATCAGCTCCCTGTCTCTTGTGGGTTTCCCTGAGAAGAGATTGATGGCTCTGACTTTTTGGTGAGACCCCCTAAACATGACAAAAAGTATTTGTATTGTTCACTCACATTTGTTTAACCCAGCGGAATGAATGCATTTTAAGTGTTTGGGTTTGCTCTGATTAGGTGGGCATATGATCCTTTCTTTGGAGATTAGCGCAGATGCTCATGTTCGAGGCTATGTTGGAGAAAAGATTAAGCTGAAATGCACCTTCAAGTCGTCTTCAGATGTCACTGACAAACTGACCATAGACTGGACATACCGCCCGCCGAGCAGCAGTCGCACAGAATCTGTAAGTGTGGACTTTTCTGAAAGTTTCTTTGTGCCTGGCATGGTGGCACACACCTGTAATTCCAGGATTAGGGAGGTGGAGGCAGGAAGATCAGGAGTTCAAGGTCATTCTCAGTTACATAGCACATTTGAAGCCAGCTTGTGCTACATATAAAAAGCAAAACAACAACAACAACAACAAAAAACCTCAGCAGGTAAAGGCACTTGCTGAGCAAGCCTGATGACCTGAGCTCAATCTCTGGAACCCATGGTGGAAGGAGAGACTGACTTCCCAAAGTTGTCCTCTGACCTGCATATGTGCACTTGCTCACTTGTGTGCAGACACACACACGCCCAAAGAAGGTTTCTTTATCTCTTTGGAATGATCTAGACTTCTGCCCTATGTGACATTTGTTTAATCACATAGGACCTTTCACTTTTCCATGTAAGAAAAAAATTGTTGGAAACTCAGTGGAAATGTGTTTTTGTTATATCTCCCTCTTGTTTCTTTCTGCATGGTATTATAGCTTCATTTTAGAGCTGATGTACTAAAAAGGGCATCTACAGGACCGTTGGTTAGAAAACTTCTCTATGTCCCAGTCATGTCACAGACAGCTTTTCTCTTAAAGCTGCTTGAAGCCTGTTGTCTCATGGGTGTGTCTGTGTATCTGTGCTCTGTAGGTTTATCTTGGCTTCTCCTCCTAGTGTGTAAACCTCTGCAGTGATTTATTTCATTGCCTTTGAAGGCACCTAGTGCTGGTGACCGCTGTCACTGGTGACAGATGGTCTTGCAATATTAGAGGCAATATACTTTAGTCACACATATAAAACACATTTATGGTTCAAATCCCATTGTGGGTGTCTAATTACAGATTGCAATGCTATAAAAACCTTTCTATGATTCCAGCAGTATCCTTAGCTCAGGATGGATGCTATTCAAGAATGTGAATGTCATATTTATTTGTGTTATGTATGTGTATGTAGACGTACACTTGTGAGTGTATGCTTGCCACCACACTTGTGTGGAGATCAGAGGGCAGCTTTCAGGACAGCTTCTCTCCTTCAACCAAATGAGTCCTAGGGATCAAGCTTAGCATCAAGCTTGGCAGCAGGTACCTTTACCCATTGATCCATCTCACTGCCCTAACTTGGATTTTATAAAGTGTTATTTATTTCTGTTCTCCTTCATTAGAAAAAAATCTTTCCTCTTAATGTGTAAGCTTTGAATTCTGTTTTAGGCACCATTTTTGAGTGCCATGTAGTTTGGAGTGAGGCCGGTAACTGTAGTGAAGGAAACAAGGCTGTAGTCAGGGCTCCTATTTCTTTAGACTTAAAAGAGTTTGCTTTATTCTGAGTAGTCAGGAAACTAAGCTGACCTTATTTGGCTCTGCTTCCTTGGCCAAAAGTAGGACAGAACAAGCAGTAAGAAGTTTCTTGGGTCAGAAACCTTAAATGCAAACAGCATTCTCTTACAGTGCTGCTCTGTGAGGCTGGTCCGAAAATCGGCAAACTCACCAGCGTTAGAATCAGTGGAACTTAAAAGTGCATAGTGTAAGCCGGGCATGGTGGCCCCGCCTGTAGTCCCAGCACTTGGGAGGCAGAGGCAGGCGGATCTCAGTGGTGAGTTCTAGGACAGCTGGGGCTACAGGGAGACCCTACTTCAAAAAGCCAAAAAGAAAAAAAAAAAAAAAAAAAATCTCAAGTATTGTGCTGAAGCTATAATTTGCAGTTATGCAATTAGTTTGTCAGGTTAATCAGTCAGTAAGGATTTGAGGATCACTAATTTAACATAGAATTTATGAGTTACATTAAACTTGAAGATACACAGCAGGCCTTGTTTGGTTAGTAAGGAGTTTTAAACCCTTTTATCCTGATGATCAATGGTAGGCCTTTCATTCCTTCCCTCCCTCCCTCCCTCCCTCCCTCCTTCTGTATCTCCCCTCCCTCCTCTCTCTTTTAGGGGGAGTGTTTATTTAAGAAAGGGTTTTGTTCTGCATCCCAGTCTGTTCTTAAACTTAAATTTGAGGTTGACCTCAAATTTACATCACTTTCTGCCTGCTCCAGCCTCCTGAGTACTGGGGTTACAGGGATGCACCACGGTGCCCCTCTTGGTAGGTCTTCTTTATCTCCCTCTTTGGAGCATCTTTATTATTTTTTTCTTTTTGAGATGGGGCCTCCCTGTAGCCCCAGCTGGCCTGGAACTCACTATGGAGACCGGGCTGGCCTTCATCTCACAGAAATCTGTCTCCAGAGTGCATTTCTGTTTCCTGCAATGTAAGTTCATGAGAGGAGGCCTATGCCTGTGTGGTTCCCATTGTTTCCTTAACATACCTAGAATATGGCATGTGTATGCTGAGTATCTGTGGCGTGAATTCATGAATAAATTAATCAGTAAATAAGTCCATATTTTTTCTGAGGACTTGCTCTTCGAAATTGGGCAATTTGGTGGATGGAAATGCCTGATTTCCTAAATGGGAAGTAAAGCCTCTTTCATAATAGAGGAACGTTATATTTTGTAGTATGAGCCTGGCCCACCTTCAGGTATAAATAAGTGGGCAAGTGTCCACTCACCAAGTCCAAAGCAGTGTTGTTTTAATTCAGCATTTATGAGGCATTTGATGTGGAGCCTATATCAGCTGCCAAGGTAGATAACCTAAGAGAGAGAAAGAGAGGGAGAGGGAGAGAGGGAGAGAGGGAGAGGGAGAGAGAGAGAGAGAGAGAGAGAGAGAGAGAGAGAGAGAGAG